TTTCTCATGAAGAAGTCTGATTGCCTGTATAAGCATCACTTAGTAATAGGAAGGAGTAAAATTGATAAATCTTCCTTCTAATTATGTCATTGAGAAATTGAAAATCTGTACCAATCTTCAAGTGAGGAACAACAGGCATCACTGAGGCCATGGATAAGGGCGGGTGGCAAAATGCTGTGCACTTGTGCTTGGCAGGAGCTTCGAATTCAGCAGCTGCTGCAGCAGGAGTTGTCCTTCCCTGCAGCAGTGGCTGCTGTCCCTCTCTCTCCACTTACCTCTTTATCCATCTCCTATTACACAAGTTGTTTGCCACCATATTTATTTAGGCAGCCTCATCCAGTTCTGCCTGAGTTTCTAAGGAACATTCTGCTGATTATTCATCAGAGAATTTGGTAGAAGAGTGATATGCTGGAGGTTCTTGTCATTCAAATTTTCCTGTTTAAGTGCGTGCTACTGCAGTTATTGGTAATGACTAGTAAGGGAAGGTCTCTTTCACAGCATTGGGCTGTGGTTGCCTTCCCAGCCTGGCAGCTGTTTTCAAGGTGATGGTAAGTTTTGTGATATCAATTTAAAAAAAAAAAAAAAAAAGTAAAAAAACAATGACCATGAATTCAAATGTGTTTCTTTTGTGAAATTTGCATCAAAAGACTTCTGCTCATAAACCAACAGGAAAGTATGACCTATTATGTTAAGAGCTTGAAGCAGCATGCCTCTAGCCCTACTTATGATACTAATTTCTCATCGTTCAGTGTCAATCACCAGAACCTCTTAGCGACACAGACATGCTGCTGGATGCAGAATCATATTGGGAAAAATGTTTTTTTTTACTGGAATAACCTTTTTTCTATTGAGAGTGAAAAATACTGATGCATACAGCTTTGTTAGCAGGCTCAATGTTTATAATATATTGGCATTTGGGGACCAGTGGAGTTTTAGCTTAATCTTAAGCTTGAGCAAAGATGTCATATGGTTCTGTGCATAAAAGAATCTCTGACGCAGAAATGTTCATGTGTAAACACATGTGCATATGTATATATATGCATGATTGCACATTTTTATTGTATAATTTGCATCCACAAAAGAAGAAAAAATCCATAATAGAAGAAGAATCTGTGTAAGAATTGCAGTGCCAAAGAGTATTGGTCTTTTTCCCATGCTTCCTACTGTCTTTGCTGTCATGTAGGACTTTCAACTTTGGGTCATGCCAGAAAATTGCATATTGAAAGATTTTTTTTTTCCTGTATTGTATTATAAAGTTATAGAAAATCTCTAAAACTTCAGAGCTTTTATGTATGAACAGTGAAATTGATCATTGTAAGACTCTGAATGCTTACCTGTGATTTTTTTTTTTCAAATGATATAATCACATCTGGGTTCATAAGAGAATTAATTGTAATCCAGCGTTTGTTTTCTAGTGCTTATTTGTCTTTACACATGATTTTAAAACCAGTATTTTATGCTGTCAGGCCTTTTTTATAGGTCATTTATTTTTCTGTTCTTAAACTTCCCAAGAATGTTTCTGGGTGGGTGGTTGAAAGTGTAGAGAAAATCTGTGATCTAGGCAAGTTTTCTTGATGTTTGATGTTTTCCATTTATGGGAAAAATGGTTTACTGAATTCCAATCTCAGCTTAGTGTTTAATCTTCCTCATCTGAAGCTGAGTCATTTTAAAAAATGAATCATGATTTTAATGTGGGCTAAGTCTTAAATGATTTGCAACTTGGTATGTAAATTAGTCTTCAGTTATAAAAGGTATCTTTGTTAGGACTGTAAGATACTTAAAAAATCAGATACTTTGACACTTTGAATATCTCCCTGTTAACTATGTAGGTTTATTATTTCTATTATGTCATGATTTTGATTGTTTTGCCTTTATTCTGGAAAAGTACCTTAACTAAGGTTATCTATGTACTTATTGTTTTGAAGACTTTATTTAAAAAAAAAAAAAAAAAAAAAAAAAAAAAAGGCAGCAATGCCCAGCTACTTTTCTCAAGTGAAGTAGTAGCTTTTTCAGTTAGCAGTCTGTCATATTATGCTTAGCCTGTTTGCTACTGCTCAGACATGAGTTGGGAAAACATAGCTCACCTCCTCCCAGGAGAATTCTGACTCCTGAATCACAGTTTCCCTTTTTCTCCTAGCACCGTGGCTAAATGAACACTGCTGTGTTCTGTCAAAATTACAGCAGAAGATGAGCTGACGTACAAGGGTTTAAATCCATACAGACAGAAAAGAGGACTGAATGGCTTCCGTATTTTAAGTGAATTCTCAAAGTACTGTGCTAGTGGGTAATAAAAGTAATAAAATTGTAAAAATATAAAAGAAAAAGTGGTTTCATGAAATGAGTTTTGCATTTTTCATTAACTGAAATTCATGGGGTTTAAGCACTACAATGATGGATGTGCTATATATTTCTGCATATTTATAAACTGTTGGAATGGAGCATCACATACAAAGAAAGTCTGTCCATGATTAAAAAACAATGATAGATATCTAAAGTTTAGGATCATATTCATAGTGAACTTTTAATATGTGGATGGTACTTCTGAATTTACTCAGAAATGTTAAATTGCTGAGCTATGCAGATGTCAACGGTTTATGGGCTGGTTTGGCCCAGTTCTGTGACTAGCAGGGTGGAGGGATCCACGGATCTGCGCCTCCAGAAAAGGGAAACAGAGGACTCAAAAATAATGGAAAAAAAAACAGTGGCAGCGATCTAGGGAGAAACAAACTAATTTACTAAATATGGTATTGGAATGCAAGATAACACACTGTAATACAATATAATTAGAATTGGAGATAATAAATCAAATATAATGAGAGTGTCTGAAAGGTGGATAGGCCTCACCATGACACTTAGGTGAGATGCACAGTCCGATTGAGCAGCAGGGAGGAGAGCCTGATGAAGAAGAGCACATCAGGTGACCTTGCCAGGGGTTATATCTCCTCTCTGACCGCAAAGTCCTCTGGGGAATGTAGTTCTTCTTCTCTTCAAGATGGGTACCTGGAACTTTGAGCATTAACACCTTACCTCCCAGTGCACTGCATGATGTTATGATGTGGAATAACGATAACCAAAAACCATAAAACCGTGACAGCAGAGCGAATGTACTTGGAGGTAACAGGCAAGACACAGTTTGAGGTGCGTTTTTACACCAGTTTCCAGTGAGTGTACAAATTATTTCAGTCAGACTAAATTTTCAGTCAGACCCCCAGCATTGTTATTATTTCCTGGGAGGAAACTCAGGGAAAAAAAAAAAAAAAAAAAAAAAATTAAGAAAACTTTATAGTTATTTCTGTGTATAATTTCTGATATTTTATTTTCCATAGAGCATTTACTTGGCTAATTTTTCTGTTAGTGGAATTAAAAACATTGTATTGGAGTTCCTCAGGTTTTTTTGTTGGCATAGAACTTTCCAAGACTCTGCTTTTTATGCACAAAAATGAATGAAACTTGAAGATTACTTTTACTGTCATATCTTGAGGTCAACTTATTGAAGATGGAATGTTTATAGTATTAGTTTGGCTGTTACAGACTAAGAAGAATAAGTTTTTCTTCAGAAGGTTCGAACTGTTAGGAATTGTACATGCAGAGGATTGTCCTTTGATGTTTGACTTAAAATATTGATGTCATATTTTTGTTGTTTAAAAAATCGTCTTAATGCGTGCTTGTTTGGATACTATCCCATGAACTGAAATAATGATTGAATGACTGTGAACAAAAGGTTGTGAAAAATGGTTCTATCTTGGCTGTGGAATGCATAGCACGATGCTTGCAATAAATACAGCTTGTGTCCAAAATGTGGAAATTTCTCAATTTTTCTAAGACAACCAAAGCAGTAATTACATCCACAAAACATTTTTTCTTGACAGATATTTCGATCATGGAATATATTGTGCTTTTTTAATGATTGCACTAGGGTGATATTCAGGAAAAAATTACATAGCACAAGTGTTTGATTTTAATTACCGCTGTATAGACATAATGCTTGTTTAGATGATAAAAATGTTAGATGTTAAATTAAAGAAGCATGTTCTTTTTTTTTTGTTTTTTTTTGTTGTTTTTTTTTTTGTTCTTATTTCCCAGTTTTTGTTTTTCTTCTCTTCATTCAATATTTGCTGTGGAAATAACTATCCAGCCGTTATATATACTTGTTTTCATTTGTAATGCATCTGCTAGTTCATGACTGACTCCAATGTTATGCTCATTATGAACATTTGACTGTCTTGCATCTCAAAGACAGAATTGAGTTACATCTATTTTTATTGTATTCCAATGTTGATATTTAGATTAGAAAAGATGGTTATGTGTTAATGTGAATTCAAATGTATTGACAGCTTACTGAAATAACTGTTTTATTCTTTTGCAAGTAGAAATTTTTTAACGAGAACAAAAATTCTGAACTGCTGCAATATAGCATGATTCTGTTAGCCAATAACCAAAGTTATTCTGACTGACACTTGCTAACGTATCTTGGAGGTCTGCAAAAGATGTAATGTTTGTTTTCTGTGATGAGTCTTCAGAAAAACATATTTCTTTCAAGTATGGCACGTGTATTATATGTATGTATGTATAGATAGATAGATAGATAGTCTGGCTCCTCTGGCTCACTCACACCTATGCCAGATGAGATTTAGTAGCACTGTTAGGAGTGAACCTGCTTGGTAGATGGCTCGTTTCAAGGACAAGAAAAGGGACTTGAAATAGTCCTTGCAGACAACTACTTGAGAAATATGCTGCTTAACAACAGTTAAAGATTGGAGTAAATAATGTTTGTTTCTTAGCTTTCTGTGTTTACTTACCATTTTTTACCATTTGTTAAGAGGGTACAGTATGTTCTCATTTTCTTTATGCCTACAGCTCTTATATAGCTAGAGAAAATTAGTGATGCACATTGAGAAAAGCTATTAGCGTTTTTTTTTGTGTGTTCCTTTAATTACAGTTCACATTATGTAAATCAGTTTTCTGTATTTTAATTTTCTCTCTTTTCATTCTTTGTCTAGATTCCACTAAGAAAATTAAGGATGTCTTAGAAGAGTTCCATGGCAGTGGTGTGTTAGCAAAATATAATCCTGAAGGGGTAACTTGTCTTCTTTCTTTAATAATTGGGAGTGGTGGGAAAAGTGTTAATAAATGGTTAAAGTATTTAAAATAGTATTTTTATAAATCAGTTATTTGAGGGTAAGTGAGTCTGTTTGGAAATAAAAATGTGAATGTTTTTATTAACTAAAAGTTTATAAACATCACAGTAGACACATCTGCTTAGTAATATCAATAAACAATTTAAGGACTAAAAGAAAAAAACAGTTAAAAATAAACCCCATAATCCTAAACGTTAATTCTAATTCTTTTTGATGGTTAGAGATGTTAAGAATATTATCAAATCTTAGATAAGTAAAGTCTGCAAAGATATTTTTTCAAACTTGTTTTTCTTACATTGTTTCTGCTTGTGGGATCCCCTTTGGGGTAATTTCTTTTTTTCTGGTATTATGAAACAAAGAATTCAATTGAATGTGTGTGGGTATTGCCTCTACAGAGTCACTACTAAAGAAAACACTGTTTTGGATGGTAAAAAAAAAAAAATTAAAAAAAAAAATCCCCAAACAACAGAATGTTTCATTTTGCAATCCCCAGTTGCAATTTTTATTTGTTTAGCACATCCTAATAATGTGATTCAAAATATAGCTAAATAAAACCCTGTTTCATCAGTGTTTCTAAATAGGTTTGTATTGTATGGAGTTCAGAATAGAAAAATGTACTAACCATTATAAGCGTGACTTGTACCTACATTTCAGTATGCAGTTGTTGTTAAGTAAGGCAGTTATAACCAATTAAATATTGGAATATTATTTAATACTTTGAATGTAACAAAATGTAGTATTGGTCATTTGAATCACTTTCTGAAGAAAATATTTTGTGTTTTGATAATGAAGTATGAGTTGATTTTGTAGTTGATCATCTTAAATCTTCATTATTTTATTTACATAAATTATATATTATAAAATGGTGGGAACATTTTGACCATTTGATTTACTCTTCAATGTGGCATAGGCTGTAGAACCACCTTCAATTGATTCATATTAGAGTGTAGACATATTTATTAGGAGAAGTTTATATGATTGGGCGTTTGTACTTTTTTTACTTTTAAATTCCATTGCTTTCTTTGTGCTGCGAATGTATGTGATAAAATACATTAAATTTATTGTTAATTGTTTTTGAAATCTTCACTTCTATTCTTTCCTTGTACAGTGGTTTCAATTCTGTGAAGTGTAACCTTTTAAAGTGTAAAGTAATTGTGTGGGAATATGGAAGGGCAGAGGGAATGAAAATTAAACAACTTGCTGTGGCCCCACTGACCTCAGCAGGGGTCAAGCTATTGGCTGCTACTGGACAGTGTTGGTCCCAAGCTAAGCCCAATGGCTTTTTCACTTTTCTGTGTAGTACTTTGATTTTAGGGAGTATAACAAAATGAAAAAAAGATAGAAAATGAGTATTTTGGATCTAGCAGGATTTATTAGTTCAGGTTTCGTGTCATCAGCTGCAAGAGGAGTGACTGATATTTCTTCTGCAGCTGGGTGAATATAGTCAGACAGAACTGCCTTTTCCCAGATGTTTCTGTGTTTTTGACATCTCTTAAACCTGCTATATGGATAAGCCCTGTAGTGGATGACTTGAGAGTTGATTCTATCTGGTCAGATGAGAACTCCTTGTGCTGCGCGTATTATTTAAACTATGTAATTTTGATCTCTAAATTAAAAAGAAGAAAAAAAACAGAACTCACCCTTTCATTATTTTAGTAGATATGATATGACAAAAAAAAAGTTATTGATCTAGCAGAAATAAGTCAGTTTAGCTTTTCTCTTTCACGTATTGTAGATAACCCTTTAAACTTCTAAGCATCCTGTTTTGTTCTTGTGTTTTGTAGAGGAGAGCTTCATGCTTTCTTTTTAGCTCTTGTCTCATTAAAATTTAAATATTTTTCCAATCTTCTCAATATCCTACAAAAAGCTGGTGCCAATTTGATACTAATAAGCATGGAACATAGAGGTATTGAGGAACATATAGAGGTATGGTATGGAACACAGAGATTTTGCAATGTGGCATGTTTGTGTACTTTAGAAAAAGTGTTAAGTTTTTAAAAATTTCTTCCTGCTTAAAGGGTTGAGGATTTTATTCCACTCTGTTGCTTCCTTATTACAGGGTTGGGTTTTTTTTCTTCTTTTTATCATGAGCTGATTTAACAGCACACAAATAGCAAAAGAAAAGCTGTTGATACTTGAAGCATGTGACCTGAAGTCATCTGGCTTGTTTTTCCATTATCTTATATCTTACTGAATGTGTGTTTTTTAGGCTTAGTGGAAATGACATATTTGATTATAAGAAGGTCTTCATCTACTGTAAGAATTATATTTATGCAGCTTTTACTCTCTGCTAGCTTTCAGTCTAAGGTAGATTACTGAAACTCATATGCTAGTGAATCTCTGTCTTCCCACCTTTTTCTATGTTAGTGTCAAATATATAATTTATACTGGGTTTTATGCCTGACATAGAATACACAGGTAGGTTAACAACACCCTGCTGGAAAGCTGTGATTTATAAATAGTCTTTCCGACATTTGGTATTTCTCTCAGCTAACTAATTTCAACTGTTTCGCTTTCAGACAAGTGCTGAGTAGGCTGGCAAAAATCAGGAAATCAAGCAAAAGACTGTATCAAAGTGGGAAATAGATGCACATCCTTTTTGATGGTTCTATTAGAGTGGATCATAATTTCTTGCTTACAGACACATTTTGAGCTTTTAGGTTTAACCAGTACAGAAAGAGGAGAAATTTGTACAGATGTACGTTAGCCAGACAGGTGTAGGTTTGAGACAGTCAGATAAAGCATGTCTGTGCTTGGATCCGGGAAGTGCTCCTGAGTGCCACAGATTGCATCTGGATAAAAAGAATAAATATAAGTGTTCAGGTTAAACAGTGAAACAGAAATTTCTGAGAAGGTTATTAAAGTGAGTACATGGCACAAGGCATACTCCATGGTCTGGTCTGACTGGGTAGGTGAAGCCTCAGGTTTAGCAAAATGAATGCAACATGGCAGTAAATGTCTGCCACCTTCAGAATACTTTTGCATTTTTGGAAGTAGTGAAAGTGGTTCTAAGAATCTTTCTCTAATCTTTCTCTGGGGTCTTTCTGATTTCCCAAAGTGTTGATGTGGGTTTTTTTTTTCTTTTAGTTACTCTGTAAATGTTTTAAAGATATTCTTGGTAGTTTAGTAACTAAAGTTTGTCTCAATCAGTGTAATTTACGTGGAGAACATAACTATGTTTATAATTTAAGGTAGTGCTAATTAGGAAGTATTGACAGCAGTTTGTGAATAAAGCAGGAAATTAGTACAGAGCCTTTATTAAAAGGAATGGATTATTAGAAACTTTGGAGACAGTGCTTGCTAGTGTTTATTATTGCATTCATTTTTGATTAAATGGTTTCAATAACAACCATTCTTGGCAACAAACAATTTTTTTTTTTTTCTTTTTTAAAGTGCACAGGGCTGAGAGAGACAAACATATTTAATTCCTTGTCTTTTTCTTTGATATCTATCATAGCATGGTTAAAAATAAATTGCTTACACTCTCTAATCAAGACTAGAATGCTAAGCTGAACCATTTACTTGACATATGCACTAATGCAAAATAATGATATTCTGTCTTCTGTCTTAAGCCTGTTCATCTACATTACTAACCTTTCAACCAAAATAGTATTTATAATAACAAAGTCTGAGTGTTACTAATATATGTGTCTTCTTTCCTTTATTGCATGCATTACAGAAACAAGATATACTTAATCAAGTAAGTAATTTTATTTTTTTCTCCTTTTGTTATGCATAGAAGCATTATCTTTTATTTTGCAGACTACCATTGAGATGTCATTTATTAATAAATAAGCACCCATGGCTATTACATCAGTTACTAAACAAATAATTAAAGCTGAAAGCAAAGCGATTATCAGTCTAATATGATGTGATTGACTTTATGGGCCTTGTAAGATAAAGGGTTAAAGATTGCCAGCCCAAAGCTCTACTTCTGAGAAGCTTATATAGCATAAAAACAAATATAAAAATACAATTTAAAAATGCTAGGAAAGAAGGACTAGTCAAGTGAACTTTTCTTATTGACCTAGTTACTCGTTCTTTGTAGCAGAGTTGTTAAAAGGCCTCTGCTCCTTTTGGGAAAACACAGATGGAACATGAGAATAATAGAACAAATCCAGAATCTTAAAGGATTCATTTTGTAGGAATCCCTCTCGTTCTAGCATCAAAGGCCAGCTGAAAGTGTGCACTGCGCTGTTAGGAGTACTCACTTCCTGTTCAGAGAAAAGCTCACATTAGATTAACCAGCATTACTCTTTCAGTAAGTTGAGAGAGTTAGAGCAGTGGATCCTGAAAGAGAAGGCAGTCTGGTTAAAACTATTTCTAGGACCAGTCATGAGATTAATTTTACAGTTTTCACTTGTAACATTGTAAAACAAATATAAATACTGTTTAAAATCAACTCATTAAACCAAATTTGGGAATTATTGTCAGAGAATTTGGGTGTTATGCTGGAAAAACTTGATGACATTATGGACTATAAACGAACAAAAATCAGATGAGATAAGCAGTGCAGAGCACAGTGCAATGTGCCCTGAAAAGCTAAGTGTGGTAGCTGATCACAAGATGACTGCAGAAGCTTTGCTCATGGAGAAATACATCACTGGGACATTGCAATAGTATTCCTGTGGCCATGGGAAGTCAGAGAACAAAACAAGACTTGTAAGAATAGGTGGTGTCTTCAGGCCAATTGAAATATGTGAAAGACTAGTTAGACTACAAAGCAGTTTGAAATACGTGTTAAATGATGGCTTTTTGTGCTGTCTCCTTCAGCTACGTTTTTTGACTGACAAAACATACTAATTTACTGCAATGGCTCTGCCTTTTTCTAATATATAAGTATAGGTATTTCTACTACAAGTGAGCAAGCATTAGTATTCTGTAAAGGAGTACAACAGAAAAGTCATCTTCCTCCTTTTAACCAGTATATGTGCCACAA